CGAGCAGAGCCCCGCGTCGCCGCCGGCCACGCGCCCCGGGGGTCGGTGTCACCCCATTCCCCCCACCCCCAACTCCTTTCCCCCCCCATCCCTGGGGGTCACCCCCCACATTTTCCCCCACCCGCAGCCAGGGAAAAGAAGTGTGAAAAGCTCCTTACCTACCTGGTTGCGTGTTTTGTGGGATTTCTGCAGCCACACGCGCCACTGGTCGTAGAGCTTGATGCCCAGGTTGGAGCAGCCGTAGGCGTGTTTCTTCACCCACCCGAAAAACTGCTTCAGCTCCCGCCGCAGCGTCGTGTTTTGCTCCCCACCTTTGGGGTCGCAGCCCCCCGCCGCTCGCTCTGGGGGCGAGGGGGCACATTACTCACCCCCCCCACATATCCCCCCTCCACTTAATGGCAGGAAAAAAACCCCAAATGAGCAGCTTTTTGGCTCCCAGCTGGGAAAAACTCCAAATTGGCTCCAAGAAATCCAGGTGTTGGGCACAAAGTAGGGAAGGGACCCCCCCGCCCCTTCCCCCAGCACATCCCGTGTGTGCAGGGGAGAAGGAGCACAGCACCGGCACCCCATCCTTAACCCACCTCCCCCGTTTTTTCCCCCCCAAAAATGATGCTGAGGGTGCTCACCGCTGCGTGGGGTGGAGGCAGCCGTGGGGTTGCTCCAGTCGCTCCAGATGCCGGCTTTTTTGGAGCCGTAGATGCCGAAGGGATTACAGCGCACCTGGACGAAGTAGACGGTGCCGGGCCGGAGGCCGGCCAGCCGGCAGGACGTCTGGTTGCCCACATCATCCACCACCTGGGGGGGAAGGGAGGGAGGAGATGGCACCCCCGGGGTGGGGGGGAAGTTGGGTCACCCCACCACCGTCCCCACCACCCAACCTTCCACTCCGAGCTGTCCTCCACCCGGTACTGGATCTGGTACTTGGCTTGGAAGAGGAAATCCTTGAGAGCTGGCGGGGAGCTCCAGCGCACGCTCAGCTGGTCCTCCAGGTCGCCCACCCGGCTGACGTGGACATCCGACGGGGGGTCGGTGGTGACTGCGGGGGACAAGGCAAAGGCCGGCGCAAGCAGCGAGCGCCGTGGGGCCGCGGGGGTTAAAGAGGCACAGATGCAGCAAGGGATGGGGAGAGGGATTAAAAAAAACCCAACCCAACTCTGGAGAAAACAGGCTAATTCGATTAGGAGCAATTCTGCTCACATATCGCCCATTTCCTGCTGCCCCCCCCACCCCCACCACCCAAAATCCCACTGCGTGAACCCGCTGCTCACTCCCTCCCCATCATCACCACCTCCATGAAGTCACCAGCACAACAGGCTAATTCGATTAGGAGCAATTCTGCTCACATATCGCCCATTTCCTGCTGCCCCCCCCACCCCCAACACCCAAAATCCCACTGTGTGAACCCACTGGACACTCCCTCCCCATCACCACCACCACCTCCGTGAGGTCACCAGCACGGCTGTGACATCCCAACCCAACACCCCACTGTGTGAACCCACTGCTCAATCCCCTTTCTCCTCCACCACCACCACCGTGAGGTCACCAGCATGGTGGTGACATCCCGACCCCTGCCCCTCAGCCACATTGAGGATGTCCAACATGATGACGTTGGAGATGGCCACGCCAAGCAATTCTGCTCACATGTCACCCATTTCCTGCTGCCCCCCCACCCCCAACACCCCACTGTGTGAACCCACTGCTCACTCACTCCCTCCCCATCACCACCACCACCACCTCCATGAGGTCACCAACACGGTGGTGACATCCCAACCCCCCAGCTCACCCACATCGAGGATGTCCAACATGACGACGTCGGAGACGGCCACCCCCAGCCGGTTGGAGGCCTCCACCCAGATCTCGTAGGGCGTGAAGAGGGCCAGGTCCTTGGGGATGTGGCAGGAGTAGGGCCCGGCCGTGTGGTACTCCTGGCACGTGTTGTCTCGGCCGTACCACCTGTGGGCGGGCACCGAGTGCCAACATGGGCACCACCATCCAGCCAAGGATGCTCACCCATCCCCAGAGGATGCGTCCGCTCCCGGTCAGGCACCGGGGCTCGTTCATCTGCCACTCAACACCCCCAGCATCACATTGGCCAAGCGTTGGGTTACCAGACCCCACAGCTCATCCCGGTGGCTCCCAGCTCAACCAGGAGCTTCTCCTCACCCTCCTCCACCCCAGCACGTGGCTGAGACCTGAGGTAACTCATCACATCCCCACACAGGGGCCAGCCCGGAGGCATCAGGCTCCCCGTTTCCCCACCTTTAAATCCCACACTGGCGTGTATTTATGTATGTATTTTAAAGAATTATAGGAATTAAGAGGGGCAGCCCCACCTGAGCTTGTACTTGAGGGTGTAGTTGGTGTGCAGGAAGGTCTCCCCCTCCGTCCCCGGCGCCCATTTGCAGGTCAGGTCCTTCATGTTTTTGGACCAGCAGGTGATGTTGACCGGTTTCTCTGGGGGTACTGGGGAGAGGGAAATTTAAAAAATAAATTAATTAAGAGGCTGAGAGGGTTGAAAAGGCAAAAACGCAGCCCGATGGGGCCATGCCACCACCGTGGTCCCCACCGGCTGCAGGTTGCCAGCCCCGTGGCTACAAAGATGTTTGATGGGGGGGTGGGATTGGGGGGGTGGGTTTAGGTTCTTGCCTGCCCCTGCCTACACCCGGCCCCCGGAGCTGTTTTCTTCCAGCAACAACAACCCGAAAAACAAACCCAAGCCGTGTTCCCAGCTCAGCCTCTGTATTCCTTAGGACGTCGCATCGTCCTTAAAATAGCCCGAGATAAAAATCTTACGGTTATTGATTCGGACAAGCACAATTTTACCCCCGGTTTGCCAAAAACCAGCCGGCGCGGGCACCGGGCATCGCGGGGAAGGATAAAACCCATCAGCTGTTGCGAGCCCCCGATGAGTTTTTTTGGCAAGAACCGGGTGTTAATCCCCACGGGGATGCTCTGCCGGCATCCACCGCTCTTCCCCCCAACCCAGCACCCCAAAAAAGTTGGGGGGCAGCCCGGTGGGGCAAGGACACATCCCGGCAACACGCCGCCAGGTGAAACCCGGCACGTGCCACCGCCGACCTACGTCCAACGTAAAGGCAGGAGCCGGCCAAGATGCCCCCGTCTCTGCTGTGACACACCAGGTTGTCCCCCGACTGCTGCTTGGAGCCGTTGAGGCGGGCGAGGACCACGCTGAGCGTGGTGGGCCCCAGGGCGACGTAGGAGGCGGCGGGCAGGCGCCGGCCGTTGAGGGTCCAGTACAGGTCCTCGGCTTTCAGGTGAAAGTCCGGGCTGACCGTGCACGTGGCCACCAGCGAGGAGCCGATCAGCAAGGTGGGGTCTTGGGGGGAAATCACTGCGGGGTCTGCAGCCGGAGAAACAAGAGGGGAGGGGGGTGAAAAAAAATAAAGTTAGGGAGGATTTTTGATGTGTCTGTATCTTATATAGGCTTAAAATTTATTTTATATCCATTTAAATCTGGTTTCAGATATGTATTTCCCATTTAAATCTATTTCGTACCTATTTCTATCCACTCAACTCTGGTTTTAGATATATATTTTCCATTTAAATCTATTTTATACCTATTTCTATCCATGTAAATCTGGTTTTAGACACATATTACCCATTTTAATCTATTTTGCACCTATTTCTATCCACACAACTCTGGTTTTAGATATATATTTCCCATTTAAATGTATTTTATACCTATTTCTATCCATTTAAATCTGGTTTTAGA